AAAAGTGGACATCTTTTGTTTTACCCGTGTGGTCTTCATATATATATATATATATATATATATATATATATATATATATATATTATATATATATATATATATATATATATATATATATATATATAAATAAATAAATAAATAAAAGGTTAGATGAGAAAAAACAACTTTTTTACGGTACTTAAAGTTTCATGCCGTTTTCGACACTCATCAGCCATATGGCTGATATGGCTGATATCAGAAAAAGAGTTGATTATTATCAAATAATCAAAACAACAATATAAATATATATATATATATATATATATATATATATATATATATATATATATATATATATATATATATATATATATATATATATATATATATATATATTCAGGGCTTAATTTAACAGTCGGACATCGGACATTGTCCGGCTAAAGCCTCAGATTGTTCGATCAATTTACAAAGTCATCGGTCAATCATCAAAGTCATTTAGAATAAAATTTTATTCGTTGATTTGAAATTGACAAATTTAAACTTAATGTAAACTATTAGACAAACTTATAAAATATTTTGATAATGGAGGCATTCATTCCTAAAAAAAGCGCTGTTATTAATTGTAGTTTTAATGACTGTTCTTTAACAGTTTCATTGTTATATTATTAAATTTAAAATTATTGCTTATTTAAAACGATCGCAAAAGTCAAAGTATGTTCGATTGATTATTGCAAACGCTGTGGACACCGAAAAGCAAAGAAAAGCTAGCAGTTTGAAAAATTTGATAATAAAAGATTTTACAAATGTGTTTTTTTAGAGGCTGAGATCTCATCGAATGGAGTATTTTTAAAAAAACATTAAGAAAATAAACATTTAAATATTAACGTTGTAATCATCCAAATCATTCTATTTTAGCTTGAGCAGATTCTCGTTGGCATCCTGGTCCTACTCGAGTTTTCCGATTCTTTATTTATTATTCGTTTTTTTAAACTATATCTTTATTTGTCTTTTTTTCTTATTATATATATATATATATATATATATATATATATATATATATATATATATATATATATACATATATATATATATATATATATATATATATATATATATATATATATATATATATATATATATATATATATATATATATATATATATATATATATATATATATATATATATATATATATATATATATATATATATATATTATATATATATATACATATATACATATATATATATATATATATATATATATATATATATATATATATATATATATATATATATATATATATATATATATATATATATATATATATATATATATATATATATATATATATATATAAAGAAATCATTTAATGGTCTCACTGATTTAATGGCTATTTTTTTTTAGATTTAAGGACTGATTTAAACAACAAGTTAAAATAAAAAGAACATTTAATACAGAAAACGTGAATACAGTCACAAATATTGAACAACAAAAAAAAGAAAAAAAAAAAAGAAAGCCTTGTAACGAGTTTTAAAATACAAAATATCATCTAGTTACCGATGATAAAAAACACGTTTGATTCCAGGCGATAATGTTACTAAAATTCAGGGTACTACTCAAATCACAATCATACCCAAAAAATGTTTTCTTAGATAAATTTTTTTTTAGATGACAGCTTTATCTGTAAAAGCCATAATGTTGTAATAATCGACCCATCCTTATTAATGAATGTGTCTAAACTTACTATAGATTTCATTGTCAATCTAAAGCGAATCTGCCTTTGACAATCTTACTATAACATTATCTAGGCAAAAAGTTGCTAAAATTGAGGATCTTTTTTTTTAGGAGACGCCAATACAAAATACAAAAATATTACGACATCTATCCTCCTTCTTTCCTACACATACACACACACACACTAAAAGTTCCTAGATCCGCCACTGATTATGTTCCATTATAAATTATTGATTATAGATTGCTTTTATAAAAACACGCGTTTAGAAAAAGTAATTGAAATTTTTTTTTTTAAGTGTTATAAATTTTTTGTGCAGTATAAAAATTTAGTCATTTCCATTCTTTTATTAAAATTTTGAGCAGTTATTCTCAATTAAGATATTTTTTTGTGTTTCATAATAGTAGTACAACTTGACATACTTATAATAAATTTAATTTAGAAAAAGTTAATTTAATGAGAAAAATTACAAAAAAGCTGTTTGTCCAATTACTTTTGGATGGTACTGTACATCGTCATGTACGCCGTTGTCTTCAAATGCTAAATATACCATTTTGTTTATTATCAAACAATTATTTATTATCAAGTTATTATAAAAATAATTTTATGGTAAAATTTTTCACAAACGAACTTTCAATACAATTCTAAAGTTCACATACCGTGAAAGCATTCAATAATTTTTAAAATTGTCATTTGCTCTTGTTGAGATTCTTTGGCCATTTTTTTTTTTTACAACATCACACGGAAAGTTTTTTTACAACATCACACAGAAAGTTTTTTTACAACATCACACGGAAAGTTTTTTTGCAACATCACACGGAAAGTTTTTTTGCAACATCACACGGAAAGTTTTTTTGCAACATCACACGGAAAGTTTTTTTGCAACATCACACAGAAAGTTTTTTTGCAACATCACACGGAAAGTTTTTTTGCAACATCACACGGAAAGTGGGCAGTTGCTGGCAGAAGTTGAGAAATAAAAAGAATGGTTTGGACAACAGTGAAATCCGGAAAACGATATTGTCGCAGTTTAAAATATTTTGCGAGCATTGCAAGTCAAAAACTATTGTAAGTTTTATTTGGAGAAAAACCTATAAATGAAAGTTATACATTTTAAAATTTTGGTTATAAACCATTCAATTTTTTAAATAATCTTTATAAAAAATAAATTTATGGCAGCAAACCAAGTAAAGATCAAGGAGACGCTTCTTAAGGATAAATTTAATGTTAAGGGAATTCCTTGTCACCAAGGGTATTTGTCATAATTTATTTTTAATATTGATAGAACTTTGATGCAATTTGTAACCAATCAAAAATGATAAAAATTGCTTAGAAGCAAACTTCTTCATTATTGTAAACATACGAAAATTTATTATCTTTAATATTATATATTAACAATACATTATTTTTCTTTAATATAATACCATTTACATGATATATATTAAATGTTTGCACATTTAATATAACTACTATTGATATGTATTTTATACGATCTGGTCATAATTAATTTATTTCCATAAGTACAATCTAAAAATGACAAATTTTTAAGTTTCGTTCGTTACTTTTTTTTTTCGCCTTTGTGTGACTCTAACTACAATTGTGGTTCTACGATCCATTGTAGAATATTGCAACTTTGTAATAGCTACTTATAAAAATCAAAACATCCGTCACTTATACATTTTCAGAGAAATTAAGGTTTATTTTTATTTTTTTTTTTTTTGACTTACTCTTTTCAGTGCGTGACTCTAAAATAGAATTAAACTATTCCTTTATGAATCAACACATAGCTACCACGAAATATATGCATAGATTTTATTCTAATCAAAGTAATTCGAAGATCATTAATTGCATTTTCTTTAAAATAAATAATGCAATAGTTGCAATGTTCAGTGTGTAATTTCAAAACTTCATGTCATGAGGAAGTGAAAAGTATGTTTAATGAGTAATCATTTGTGTACTTTATAACTGAAAAATAATTCAATTACAATAATTAATAAACATAAAAGTTAAATTAAGCCTTATTTAATAAGTTGATTCTATTGCTTGTCAAATGTGTTTTCGCTTTCCGCTAAATCACGAACTTTGCATGTAAATATTTTGCACATAATTAAAGATAAAACATATTGCTGAAACATATAAAACTTTGTCGTTAACTTTGAAGCAACGAGAGGGTAAAAAAGATCTGGAATCCAAAACCCTTTGTTTGTAACTAAAGAAACATTTAAAGCAACGAGAAGGCGGAAAAGATCCAGAATCTAAAATCCTTCGTCTATAATTGAAGAAACATTTGAGTTCTTAAGTTGCAACAACTCAAGAATATTTTCTGTTAATGACATAAAAGCGTTTGCTGCAGAGAATGGTGCTTAACAAAAGTATTCTTAACTATTGTAGAGTTTATTACATCAAAATTACTTTATAAATAACAGTGTCAACATGAATTGTTTAAGGACTATTATACTAAACATCTCAAAATTATTGAAAACCTCATTGAAACCTACGATAAGTTTTATACATCTGTCTTATATCATCATCATACGTCCTTTTACATCAACTACATTGAGTTTTATACATCAAATTTTATACGTGCAAAAAAAAAAAAAAAAAAAAAAAAAATCGCTTAACAAATTTCAGCTTTCCTATGTGCAAAAAAAAAAAAAAATTTTTTGCCTGAAATTACAAAATTTTAACACAAACACAGTGTTAGTGTTAAAGTAGTAAAAACTTTTTGTCCTGTTATAGTAATTTAAACTAGAAGAGTAAAGTTGACCAGTTTAAAGAATGGTTTGTGGAATTTAAAAAAAAAAAAGGTCTCTGGAAAAGTTCAGAGCAAAAATTATAATAAAATAAAATTACAGCTATTCTTTCAATGTTTAATATAATAAAATTATAATAAAATAAAAGTTATAGCTATTCAGCTGTAACTTTTATTTTATTATAATTTTATTATATTAAACATTGAAATAACAACAATAATAACAAAAAAATCATTTTATTTTATTATAATTTTATTATATTAAACATTGAAATAACAATTTATAATAACAAAAAAATCATATCTATCAAAGCTAATAGCTTTGATAGATATGATTTTTTTTTTAACTGACAAATAACAAAGTTTGCAATACTTTGCTGGCCTTTAAGCAAAAATAAACTTTTTTTATATAATATAAATTACAGTCAAAAATGACTTTGCGGCACGGTCTCATCGAAACACAATATTTTTAGTAATAAAAGTACTTTTTTTTTCAAAAATAATTGATTATTAAAAAAAAAAAAAACAAGTTGTAGGAATAAGAAAAAAAATTTAAAAAACTTAACATATGTTATTATCTAAAGTTACTATTAAAGCAAAGTCATAAATTAATACTAAAATATTGTATAATAATAATTTATTGTTAAGCATAGCATGTTTTTTGACACATCTTTTTCTCTCTGAATCGATTTGTATTTCCTCCGCAACCACCGTAAACAAATCGTTTGCAAGTATCAGTTTTGTAGTCGTAGTACCAAGCTTTAATTGCTGCTCTACATGGTCCAGTCTCTGGTTTTAAAGCACATGTGTTTTCCTTGTTGTTGGATTTCTCTATAAATTAAAATTTTCAAAATGATCAATTAAAATGATTTATTAGAGTTTTCAAGCTTTTATTTCAATAGACAATTTTTCTTGAATTAATACGAAAAAACACAATTTACAAGTTTCATCTAATTAAATAATTGTATAATCTAATTAAGTAAATTTTATAGAAAAAATAAAAAAAAATGCCGTAAAGTTATCGGTTTGCAATTTATTGCGGCTGCCAATAACGGTATAGTAAGTTGTTTATAATATATTATAAACAACTTACTATAACGCGATTATGCGGTAAATTTCGATAGCGATTTTTCGAAAAAGAATCATTGCGAAGCGATTTTTTTCGATTACGATAAGCCACTAACTATTCAAAATGCAACTTTTTTTGATTACTCCTTCAAAACACACAAGTTTAAGTTTAAGTAATTTTTTTGGACACGAAATGTGAAACTGATTTTGTAGCTTTTTTAGAGTATACCCAATAAACGTTGTTTTAGTGGATTTGCAGTGGGCTTATATAATTTTAAGCGGTTCATTGGAGTTTTGCTTATTAGTTACATAGTGGACCATTAGTGGCAGCCACTAAAAATGGCAAGCCAATATATTTTTCAGACAGGTTGGCTGCTACTAATGGTCCGCCAAGTAAAATAACAGTAGACCTCTCAAAATGTCTATACAGGTCTACTGAAATTCCGCTATAGAATGTTTTCAGGGTAGAGATAGATAATACTCACATTTCGAACATTTTATTGATAACTTGTTTAAAAGATAGCTAATAAGAAAAACAGTTCTAGGACTAAGTGAGCAGTTATATTTGTTCTTTGCACATTGTTTTCACGTTTTATAAAAAAACGTGTGTTTATAAGACAAGCTAAAATAAAAAGTTTATAACATGAAATCAGCATGAAAGTTGGAATTATTCATCATTGTTAAAAAATAGTTCACCTAAACAACACTATCAGTGTTTTCCGTCAAACTCATGGTGTAAATATTAAATTGTCGTTGAAAATAATTTTAAGTAGTTTAATAGGCGCATATGTTTTTGTATGAAAGTTACTAGTTGTTATAGCATTATTTTTCAACAATGACGTTTTTTTGTATACCACAGTTTGAGTTTGCTTGTCGATGACGTTAACTATTTACACCACAAACACTACCATTAGGAACGCGTAAAGAACACTGACAAAACGTTGAGTAATTTTTAAAAAACGAAGAAAAAGCTGAAAGCAATAAAAAAGATTTTTCAAAGTTTTGCTGCTGACGGTGTAATAATTTTGATTTTAAAATACTTTAAATTCAGAAAAAACAATAAAAAAAATTAAATTTTATTTTTTATTATTATTAGATATTTCAATATTAAAACAGACTTCAACATTAAAACATTTTTCTAACATTTCTTTAATAATATTCACTAGACGGATTTAAAGAAATTCACACGACGGATTTGCGGATATCCGACTTTAATGTTAAAACATTCATTAAAATTTCTTTTTCTGCGTAGGATATTATGTGTTTGGTCCAAATATATCATGGTGCATACAAAACATTAACATATAGAAAATATATATACATCCACACAATATATAAACATATCGTTATGACCAAAAAATTTTACTTAATAAGTTAAATGATATTTTTAGTCATAACTTTGCTCTACTTTTGCCAAATTTAAAGTTTTTTCAGCTTTATTTCTGCATCAAACTGAGAATTGTCATGCAAAGCTGCAAAAAATCTGTTAATAGTTTTCATAAGAGAACTTATATAAAGTCCTATTAAAGTAAACAAAGTTTTAATAAACACTTAAAATAAAGCTGTTGCAAGTGTAGCGTATGTTAAACGTGAAACAGTTCGTATGATATAAGTATTTAACTTTAAACACTTTAAACACTTTAAACAATAAATTTTTTTTACTTAAATAAATACTTTAAAGAGTTATAGTAATTGAAATAACTATGACTGTTTAAATTATTCTAATAGAGCTCAAAATAGAAATTTCTTTTATCTGTATAAAAAAATAACTGAAGTCTATAATTTCATAATATAATATATTTTTTCATAATATAATATATTTTTCAATAATGCACAATGAGTGGTGATAAACAACGAAATTAATTGTTTTTGTTTATGTTAGTGTCGTCACAGTTTGACTCTGATAATAATAAGGTCATCACGGTTTGACTTTAAAAATAGGTTTATTTGTTTAAGAGTATTATTAATTAAATTAAAAAAATTATTTAAAACCTTATATAAAAACAGTAATAGAAATCACAGCCGTATCAGTTAACTTAAAAGAAATCAGTATAACAGATTTTATAAAGTTTCAATAAACAGTTCGTTCAAAATCAAAATCCCTGCTTTATGGGATAATGACATAATTATTAAACCATTTTGAATAAGTATATATCTACCATAAATTAGAAACCCAATGGTGATTAGAAAAATCTCTATAGATAAAAATAAGTTCAGACAATCAATTAAAAACTTTTTTTACAGCATTCAATTTGTGCATTTTAAGTTGCAATAGACTTAAGTCATATCCAGGGTCAGCCAATCGAGGGAGATTTATTCGAAGAAATCTATATAAAGATATTTTAATTCTTTACAAAGATGAACATAATTCGTAGTTAAACTAATTAAAAATTTTACCAGCATGATAATCATTGATATTTACCTATCTTTATCGCGTACTAATCGAAAATTGCTGGAATAATACAAAAGTCAAGTAGACACAATAAAAAGACTTATGGTGTACTTGGTAGTTTCTATTCTTATCCTAAAAGTTTATATGATTTATTAGAAAGATCAAGCAATTACTCAATGATTTTATCATTGAGTAATTGCTTGATCAAAAAAAAAAAAAAACTACTCAATGATTATATAGAATCAAACAAACTAGAACTAGTTAATGTAACTAAAAGCTCTGGTCCCACATATAGACATCAGCATCATATCTGGTCCCACATATACATATCAGCATCAAATCTGGTCCTACATACACATATCAGCATCATATCTGGTCCTTCATACATATATCAGCATCATATCTTATCCTAAATATACGCATCAGCACCATATCTGGTTCTACATATACATATCAGTATTATATCTGGTACTACATATACATATCAGCATCATACATTACCAAAGTTCTCTTACATAGATCACATTGGTCTGCTAAAAAATACATATCTTTCTTATTAAAAATAAACTGTTAATTCTACTTTCTCAAAAAATATGAGCGATCACTTACCTGTGTCATATTTAAATAAACTTACAGGTTCCTAATTTAAAGAAAGTATTCATGAGATAGTAGATGGTATCTATATTCCAATTCATTCCTTGAAACAACGATTTTCTAAACTTAATCAATGACCATCTAAACGCTAATTTTAATAACATGAAATTTACAATTAGGAACCATGAAAATGAGCCGACACAAACTTATATTGTCTTTACTAATAGTGCTCACTGCGGCTCACTGTGAATATCTTAAAAAGAAAAAACAATCGGTACATTATAAACTCTGGTGGACAGTTTAAGCAGAAATAAAAAGACTCTTTCTTATCACTTTCGAAAATGAAGAGATACCGGGTTTCAAAAATATTGCAATTCTATTACTTATGTTCGATAAAAAATAGCTTAAGAACATTTCCGCAAAGCTGAAAAATTAAGTTAGCTCAAAACCATAAGCTCTAGAAGCAATACGTTATAATTGAAAGTCTAAAAAATAAAAAGCCAATAAACTTTTGGAATATATAAAACTATAAAAAAAGATTCAAACTTGCAATAAATTAGCAATGAAAAAATCACCAGAGAATTTGAAAATAACTTTGAAAAGTTTTTAAACCCTCCTCAAATAACTAAAACTTGTGCACACGACAAACGATGGTGTAGTTATAACTGAAAAAATTGTTAGAAGAGCTTTATCCATTTTAAAATCAAACCAATCTCGAGACTCGTTTGGCATCTTAGCTGAATATTTAAAACACCCAAATTGTGACACACTTTTCACTCAATTAATTATGGATGGACTCCAAAATCAATATCTTCATATATCATAGTATCACTTGTTGATTCATATTGAAAGTTTTTAGATAAACCTAGTAACTATTGGGATATCATTATCTTACCTATTTTTACTAAATTTCTAGAATATTTGATTTTAATAATATGTCCGGAGCTAAGGAACACTCAAATTTTCAATTTGGTTCTAATTTTAGGAGTCCAACTATGTATGCAAAATTAGTGATTAGTGTATGAAAATTTGTGAACAGTTCAACCATGCATGCAGAATATGTGATCAGTGAAACAACTAAACATTACAACAATAAAAAAAACTCACCTGTTTGTTTATGCTCCTTAAATGCTAAAAAAGCCTTTGATAGCTATAACTGGGAAATTCTTTTTGATAAGTCATGTTTAAACAAAAAGCTACATTTGAATATAGCTAGGCCTATCTTTTCATTATTTCTATAATAGTAGTAAAACCGTATCATACCAAGGTCGCAAATCAAACGAATTCTTTCTTAAACAAGGAGTAAGACAAGGATAAATTCTATCACCGCATCTTATTAATATCTATACACAAGATCTTCTCAAATAAATTAAAAAAAAAAGTAATATAGGTACGTCTATACATGGTAACTTCACTGGTGTCGTATTCTATGACGACATCAGACTTCTAAGCTCAACTCTCTCTTGTCTTGAAAAGTTATTAAAACTTGAAATATATACTGCAAATCTGATTGCATAAAACTAAATCCTGATAAAACAGATTTCCACATTACAGTTAAAAGACAGTTAGAAAACGGTACAATATCCTTTGCTGGTTATCAAATGAATTTGCATAGCAAGCTTAAACACTTATGTTTAACATGGGAAACAGAACACTATTCTAAGTTGCACTTAATCAGATAAACATTATAGAAAAAACATCAAATTTCTGGGCAGTGGTCCAAATTTAATCAGGAATTCAATTTGCCCATCCAAGATATATACCTCATTTGCATCAAACTTTAACAGTAGGCATACTAACCTAATGTCTCTGGAACTTTGCTGAAACAATGACGTGAATATACAAAAACTAAATAAAATCAGAAGGAGGACATTAAAATCAATTTTCAATCTTTTGAAACGTTGTAAAAACTATTTACATTCTTTATTTAAAGAATATCAAAATAAATAGGGGAAAGTCGGGTAGCCCCGGACGGCGGGTATTTCCGGACACATGATGTACAGCTTAAACTAAAGAAGCAATTTCACTTTTACTACTAGAATAACATAATTTGAGTGAAAATATGGCATATGCAAAATATCTATCATAAAATGTCAAAGCGAATGACTGGGAGGGCAAGATTTTGTTTCCCACCACCATAAGAGCAACGTATCATAATATTTGATTCACATATTAATATACCTAATTTTTATGTAAACTAACTTTTTAATGATTAAAGATATATTTTTATTTACAACAGTTATAAAAAAAAAAAAAGTTAAAAAGTTCAATTCACTGGTTTTAAAACTAGTATTTGTGAATGAGGTATGATCGGGTGGTATCGGACACATGTTTGGAGGGTGGCTCCGGACAACTTAATTCGTTTACATATTAATAATAAACAACTTTTTTATATAAATATTAATACATTTAGTATAGTACACAAACCTATAACAGTAATTCAATTAATTTCAATAAAAAAACATTAGATTTGAAAAAAGTGTTTTTAAAGTGTTTATTTTCAGTGTTTTTTTTTTCTGTTAGCATATGCGCACAATCTATATTTTCCTTAAGTGTCCAGGGCTACCCGACTCTTCCCAACATCAGTTTAAATTGAACTTATTTAATTGTCTTTTGAACAACAAATTAAAATATGGCATTATTTGATCTCAAATGAGGAATCCTACTGTATAAACACTATTTTGAAGATGATGTCCAGCAGGTGTGCCGTGTTATTAAAATAAGTTTTAAAAACGAAAAAAAGAGAATCCGTTTTGCGGTTTTTAGTGATAAAATCCCAAAAGATACCGAGAGAGCTTTGAAATTCTTAATAGAATAATGGTATGTAAAAAAACAAGCAAACTCTTGAAGAAAACATTCAAAAATGAAACACAAATTACCAATGACGATTTATGAGAATTATCTGTTAGCTTAACATACAGAGACCTGAAGCTAAAAATAAAAAGAAATTGTTGCTTGTCTAAGATTAAATAGTTTAAAATAAACTTGATTGATATAAAAATACAACAAATTTCATATTTATTAATAAAATTAGTATTATTATTATTATTATTATTGTTATTATTATTATTATAATAATGAAATTTTTAAAAAAATATTATTTAAAAAAATATCTTGTACAAAAGTTATGATGAATAAAAGTCGCTTCTAAACACAGGGACTTATACTTTATTTTATCTACAAAGTCTTTCAATTCTTACTAAATAATACAAAATCAAAAATTTTAATGTTTTTTATTTATAGTACCTATAATGCATTTAAAAATTGTTTCTAATAAAAGATTTTCTTGCTTTAGTAAGTTTTTGACGTTTATAAAAAAAACTAAAATATATAACAACCTAAAATATCCATTAAAATCAATGACTGAAAATGTTGGGCTGCAATAGAAACGAGTTGAACTTAGTCGCCCAACATTTTCAATCATGAATATTTCATGATTTGTGAGTACACAATGTCTTTGAGTCCCGTGAAATAGTTTATTTTTTACTTTTTAGTCCATTTTTATAATGTTGTTTTTAAAAAGTTTCTTTCTACCGTAATATTGCTTAAGTTCGGTCACCATGTAACTTCGGTCATTTATAAAAAAATATAAAAAAAGCATGCAAAACTCAATTTTTACAAACATTTTTTTTTCAAATAGTATTTGTAATTAGTTCGTAAATATTTATCTATAAAAAAAAAATGTTCACATGCAACCTGCTGAAATAATTCTTTAGCAAAACGACAATTTGAAAAAATGCATACTATTAAAATCTAAAATAGGCAAATTATTAAAACAAATGATTAAATTTAATCTTAATATTATTAGGTATCACCGAATTAATTATATTTACAAAAAAAAAAAGATTAATTTTTGAAAACTTACAACTTTTTTAAAAAAAAATTAGTAAAATTTTGAAATACTCTAACTTTGGTCATTCACGGATTAACAACGAAAGAGACAAATAGCAGTAATATTGAAAAACGCTTATAAGTGTTGCGAATGAAAGATATACCGGTATCTTTATCTGTAAATTTACCAGTAAATTTTGACATTTTTATAAAGGATACACACCATATTTTATTTGAATAAAAAATTTGTTCATAATTTCAAATTTAAACTGACGGTTCTTTGAGTTTTAAAAAATTCCAAGCCTGTGACATTTTATTCGAGATAAATTAAAGCTCAACGACAATAATTGATGCGTTGCGAATCCTGTGACGATTAGTTGTGTGGATCTTGTTGTTCTACTACGATCAACGATACGCAGAAGAATTGCCAATAAACGTACAAAGTTCATTTAAAGCAAAGTAGTGTTTTTTTGTTAATTGAATAAACCTATTTAAATTAATTGAAAAATATATTTTTAATCTGATTAAAATCAGTGGCGTAGAAAATGTGATAATGGGCAAAGTAATAAAATAGTTTAAGCTAATTACAATAAAAATAAAAAAATCTGCTACTTCTATTTACTACTTATAAAAATTTTTTATGTGCTCCTTATTGTTTTCTTTAGTGCCCCAAAAGACTTTTTTTTGTGCCAGGCGCAACACCCTCCGTAGTTACTGGTATTATTTAAATTTATATCATAATTTTACAATAAAAAAACATTTAAAATTAGTTTATATTATTTGTGACGTTAAGTTTGTGTATCAATTAACAATATAGTTTTCTGTATGTTTCAGGAAAAAAAATTAAATTTTTTTTATTTATGCGTGATAAATAAATATTCAAAGCTTTAGTGACCGAACTTAGGCAGTTTTACGGTATATTTTTTTATTTTTTAACAGCGATTCTATTTATTTAGGCTAAACCAATACGCTAAAAGTTTGTTGTTTATTGTTTAATTACTTTTCTTAACCATTTCTTTTATTTACACTAAAGTCTGTTTAGCGTTGCTTGTTTTAATTAATTTTTTTAACTATTTCCTTTATTATTACCGCTGACCTCGTATTTGTTTTGCGCGGACACCAAAAAAATAAAGCGTCAAGAGAGCAAGTTAAATAAAATGTTGTAAAAATGAGAAAAAAAAATTACTCGCATAATAACAGTTTTACTTATTGGTTCAAAAACTTACTTTTGACTGAAACACATACACCTTTTGTATGTCGTTTCACTTGAGCGCAAACAAAGCCAACATCACATTTTCCATACATATTCCATAAGCCACCGCATTCTTCTCCATCAACTTTAGCGCATGTGTCGCAGCAGCCGCATATTCCTTTCACGTAACCTCCTTATGGTAAAAAAAAATTAAAAATCAAAAACATTTTAAATTTAACTAAAATTAATTTTTTATAAAATAAATTAGTTTTTTTTTATTAAAGTTAAATATTAAGATAAATAAATCGGTTTAAAACTAATAAGTTAATAAATTAAAATATAATCATACCGTTACATAGAGGACGTGGAGGACAAAGATCAGGCTCGCATGGTCGGCACCTTAAACACATCACAACATCAAGCACTAATAAAATTAATAAAATTGATTTCATTTTTGAGAAAACACTGCCACACTTTTAATCGAAAAAAGTGTCCGAATAATTGTGTTGTTTTTAAAAAAAGGTTCGTATGACTATCTAAACAACACGTGATGTTTACTGTTGCCATTGTTACTGTTATTTATTTATCGATCTACTTTTTGTAAAAGTTTTTAAGGAAGAGCTTTAAGGTTAGTTTTAGTGTAAATGAAATCTAAAGTCACATAATATTTTATTTTGACTAAATATAATCAACTAACTTTATTTAGACTAAAAATTAGGTCGACTAATTTTAGTTACCTGAAATGTTTACCTATTGATTTTAGTTACCTGAAATGTTTACCTATTGATTTTAGTTACCTGAAATGTTAGCCTATTAATTTTAGTTACCTGAAATGTTAGTCTATTAATTTTAGTTACCTGAAATGTTAGCCTATTAATTTTAGTTACCTGAAATGTTAGTCTATTAATTTTAGTTACCTGAAATGTTAGTCTATTAATTTTAGTTACCTGAAATGTTAGTCTAATAAATTTGGTTAGACTAAGAATTTAATTGAGATTTTATTTTGACTAAAAATAGTCTACTTAAATATTAGTAACGGTTTTTTTAATTAACTTAGTAATTAATTTTAGGTAGAGACACTAGTAAAATTAGAATTAGATAGTAGTCAATTAGTAAGAAAGTAAGTGTAGAAATAATTTTAAAAAATTTATAAGGGTTCCAAGAAAAATAAAATTAGACCAGGACAAAGTTGATTTATCACACAAGTCAATGTAATGTAAATCAACATAAAGAGTTACTCTTAACTTATTTAAAAACACAAATAATTTTTAAGAAGTCATGTTTAACCTTTAAGCATAAAAAAGTGATTCTTAAAACTAGATAACTTAAATTTAAAAAGATTAGGGGAAAGGTGCTTATGATGGCATACTGGACATATTTCCATAAATATTGGTTTTAGTAAAAAACTGATTAGATCTATATTTTTATATTGGCTTTAAAATAATTTATATGAAAATTTGTAACTTTTACACAAATATTGTTTTCATAATTAACAGAAATTATTTTTGGAATATGATGAAGTAATTTTAATCATTTTATATATTTAAGATTATGATTTTGATATTAAACGTAAAAAAAAGAAATTGTTTTCCATTTCATCTACAGCTTTTGTGCATTAATTAGAATATTTACTTTAGTTGTTTCTTTTGAACAAGGCAGGCACAGCTAGTTCAAGTGAAAAAGGTGTCATTTTCTTATGATGGCATATTTACGAGTTGCGCATGTTGGCATAGGTATGCTAGCATTGAACTTAATGTTTAAATTACACGGCGCTTAATATCACAAATACAACAACGTATTATTTGCTCTTTGAACTTTGAAAAAATTATAAATTATAATTAGTTAAAATTGTAAGACTTTTATATCATTATATTATTAATGTATATTATATTTTAACTTACGTTACTGAGAAGGTTTTTATGGAATTGCCTAATTGCCTATATATATATATATATATATATATATATATATATATATATATATATATATATATATATATATATATATATATATATATATATATATATATATATATATATATATATATATATATATATATATATATATATATATATATATATATATATATATATATATATATATATATATAAAATTAATATATTAATATTACCTACGTTTGAATGTAACTCTTTCAAACAATTACAAAAGTAAAGTAAAATAAGAAAAATGTTGTTTTTTTATAAGCCAATTCAAAACTATTTAGTAAACAGATTAAGAAAAAATTAGGCTTCAGGGTGCTTATATACAACTTTTGGGTAACTTATGCGTGGCTGAGCAAAATTTAAAAAAAAATTACGCTAATTTTTTTTTTTTGCGTAATTAATTGCGTAACCTTATTTTTATTGTTTTAACTAATAAAAACATATATATTAATAAAACAATTTAAAAATACAAATTAAATAAGTCCACATTGCACATTTTCCAGACCAATATCGTCAGTGTTATAATGGGGTTCGTGACCCTCTTAAGCAGATTAGGGAGGCAGATTTGCATTCGTCTCCAAACCCACCATTAGTACCAAAAATCAATGGGGTAAACGTCCCGTATTTAACCTCTAGAACTCGCTCTAAATACTCACGTTTTTTTTGCATCTTCATGCCTACGGAATATGTGCTTTGTTGGTTGTTTTTTGGAGGATTTGGAGTTTACGTGCGTTACTCTAACATCCAAAAATGCGTAACTAATTCACAACTTTTTCGCAGCATTTGCGTAAAGTTAAGGTTGTGCATGAGTTACGCAAAACTTAGTCAAAAACTTACGCAAAATTTGAGGCAAATATTTTATAACTAATTGTATTAAAGGAAGTATTTTTTTTTTTTTTAATTTTAGTTAGGTGCCCCAAGAAGTCCTAACGGTCTTATCACAGAGCACCGCGGTTAGTATTACTAATTTTTTTTTTAGTATTGCCAAATTTTTTTTTGTCAAAACATACAGGGCAAAGTGACCAAACAGTGAATGCTCATTTTTTTAAAGGCAAGGCTTACATTTACATAGACTTGAATTATTATTTTTGGTTGTTGCTATATCTAAAAATACAGCAAAAGCATATAGGGGCTATTTAAATAATACGTGACATTCTTAGATAGGGTGAGGGTGTTTGAAAGTGTCACCAAATATCATCTATGGAAGATGGAGGGGGGAGGGAGTAAGCCACAATGTGAAATTACAAAACTTTTAAAATTTATATTCTAGTCACAGCGAATAACTATTCGGCTTCCTGTATAATGCCATCAGTGAATGCCCATTGGTTTTAATTAATCATTCAAATAATTGTATACTACAGTTTTCTTAATACTATAATTTTTGAATTGTTTATTATAATTATTTGAACAGTTAAAAAGTCACTTTTTGCCTCTGATTTTTCCTTATTCTTTCTTAGCAGTGATAAACCTAGAGTTTATTTTTGATATACCCTTTTGATGCAGTAAGTTATGAAACCCTAACCCTACCGCGAACCTTATTTGTAAACATCACTGGCTTAATAGAAAACTAGAATTTGAAAGAACATTTTTTTTCCTATTTTAGTATAAAGAGAAAAAGAAAAACAAAAAATTATTATTTGAGGCTTTTTTTTGGCGTCCATACTGGTCCTATGATACAAAAAGGGTCTGGCTTCACCCCTGCTCAGATCATACAACTTATCTTGCATAGTTTCAAGAAGTTAAAACAAAATACTTTAGTTTAGCATAAATTTTCACATAAAATAATGGAAGTTCTAAACTGAAGTATTTTGTTGGAAGTTCTAAACTGAAACGAGAATACAAAATACTGGAAGTATTTTGTATTCTCGTTTCTCATGCCCTGGGGTATAAGAAAACATCATGATAATTGTCAAATTTTTTTTTCAGTGGTCTTGTTTTATCTTGTTTTCAGTGGTCTTGTTTATTGACTTAAATTAACATCACTTTTAATTGCTTATGGGAATGACAGTTTCATTAAATAAAGAAATTGCTTCAATAAATTCAAGAAATACTTTTGATTGCATTCTAGTGTATTTGAAACTATTTATAAACAAAATTCAAATTGTCAAAAATAATAGGAACATTTTGAAAACATAAAAAAAAGTTCAACAACTTTCCATAACATATTATGAAAAACAGTATTACTGCTGTGTTACTATCTAGTCGATATAAATTTACATTTATAACTTTGATACGTACAGTTTCAGTTTTATTAACATAATTAATAAAAGCTGAGTTTGAATTAAAATCCACTTGTTTTTTATTAGTTCTTTTCAGTGATATTTCAGATTGAAAATTTATGGTACCATTTTTTCACGAATAAAAACATGGCTCTTATATTTGATGGGTAGAGTAAAGTTAATTCTGTGAATCAGGCACGTGCAGTATAGAAAAGTTATTGACATGTAAAGTATTGATTAAATCACAACATCAACAAGTATTGTAGTTTCCAAGACACCAGTACAATCTGTAGTACAATCTAATATTATTGCTGTGTCTAGTCGGTATAAATCTACATTCATAACTTCGATGCGTATAGTTTCAGTTGTATTAACACAATTAATAAAAGTTTAGTTTGAATTAAAATCTACTTTTTTTTTATTAGTTTTTTTCTGTGATATTTCAGATTGAGAATTTTTGGCACCATTTTTGCACGTATGAAAACATAATTCTTATATTTTATAGATAGAGTAAAATTAATTCTGTGAATCAGGCACATGCTATATAGAAAAATTGACTGATCGACATGACAAGTGTTGATTTAATCACAACAACAAGTAGTAGGTTTTTAAGACACCAAATACAGTACAATCTAATAGCTACAACCAATGTGAACAATCTGCTGTCATCTGATAAATTGTAATACTATTTTCAACGGCAACTGATGATAATTTTACTGAATTGGGAAAAGCACTAATAATCCTTTTGGATTAACTGGTGTAATAAGAAATTTTATTGAATTCCTACTCTTAGTAATGATATATTACAACAATGAGACTTTATATTGAAATACAAAATAAAATATCTACCAAAGCAAATTAAACTATTACTGAATATGGTGGTTATTTGCAAGCAACAATATTATTTACCTTAAAATTAGGCTTTGAATTAAAATCAAGGAAAAACATAGCATCGTTATCAGTAGCGTAGCAACAAAAAATAGGTCTACCCGCAAAATTTTAATCCGAGCCTCTAAGTTACTTTTATGTCGCCTTCTTCTCCCTTTCTTTTTCTTGATAAAAATTATACATGAAAACAAAAACCTTTTTTTTTTACTTTAATTTTGATTTAGTTAAATAGAAACCAGAATGTTACATTATGCAAGTCTAGAAAGTTGAAAATCTAATAAAAGTTTTTTACTTGTCTTTATAGCAGCAAATTGGTCATACCTTAAGGTTCTTAGAGCCGACTTAAAGAACCCGTGGGTTCTTCATGCTGATAAATGGTTCTTTATAGAACCGGCTAATTTTTTAAAAGAAGTTTGAAGAACCTTTAAGGTTCTTTGCTTAAATTGTTAGATATTTTAATCTTAAGGTTCTTCAAAAACTTTTTTTTTTTTCTTTTTTAATACTCCATTTTGTTTTTCGATATATTTTTTACATGTTAGTTGATTACAACGTGGATTTATAAACTTGACTAAACGTTTAAACATGAATTATGAAACAAAATAATATAGGGGAGAACCTTAATGAATGGAACAATTATTGAATGGGACAAAATCAAATTTGCATAGAAGCATCTACGGTTGGCTATCCAAACTCCTGTGGTAATAAGTGTTTGACACAACCATTCAACAGACCAAATCTTTATTTCTATTTTGGTCTAAACGTAATGGCATTGGATGTTATTGTGTTTTGAAGAACAATAAGTAATTTTTAAAAACAATTTTCTGTGTCTGATTTTGCAGCGATTACTAAAGTTAAGGAAAATGAAACTCCAATTTTCAACACCCAAATGTCTCTACTTTTTAAATTTGTAAAGTAATTTTGTTTAGGTATTACTGTTTTTAACCTGTCCTGTCATTTGTGGATATAGTGGGAAGCCTATTGAATGGGACAAAGTATTGATTATTGAATGGGACTTGCCCAAACAGCCTGATATGAAAAAAGTAGAAAAATATATTTCGGCAACTTAGTTATGGTCACACATAATTTTATTTTTAAATACGTTTTAATTTGATGTTAAAATGTGGTTCTAAATAAGTGTGACCAATGCTTTAGCTAAAATTCAAAATTGTGTTCATAGAACTAAATCTCTATTAAAATCTTTTCTTTAGTATGTATATATATATATATATATATATATATATACATATATATATGTATATATATATATATATATATATATATATATATATATATATATATATATATATATATATATACATATATAAATATATATATATATATATATATATATATATATATATATATATATATATATATATATATATATATATATATACTTATAATTATTTTTTTGTATTTATTTATTGTATTTATATACATTTATGTATATCTATTTACACACACACATATGTATTTATATCATATACTGTATGTATGTATATGTATCATACATATACATACATATATATGTGTGTGTATATCTGTGTGTATTTTAATTATATATTTCATGTTTGTATTTAAATATTTGCATTTGGCATATATTTGGTTTTTTGTGAAGTTTCAAATTTTATTTTAGATGAAACCAAACACAAAATTAATACGTAAAAACTCTTTAGATGTTAAAGATGCAGTAAAAAGTGTTCTTAAGGGTATGTCCATACGAGATGCAGCTGAAATGTATAGTTTATCAAAATCTGCAGTAGGTAGAGCTGTTAAAATGGCAAGATGTCAAAAGCTGCAAGACTATAAACACATTGTAAACATTGGAAATAGAAAAATATTTCATGTGTCTGAGGAAAGTGCTATTGCAGATTATTTACAAACGTCTTCAAATATGTGCTATAGTTTAACTAAATTACAAACTAGGCAATTAGCCTACAAGTACGGAATTGCATTAAATTCTAACAGTATTCCAGAGTCATGGCACCAAAATAAAATGGCAGGAAAGCAATGGTTGGAAAGTTTTTTGATACGACATCCAAAATTATCACTACGTAAGCCAGAAAAAGTTAGTCTTGCTCGTGCAACTGCTTTTAATGAACATACGGTGTCAATGTTTTTTGATAACTTGTTAGAAGTTCAATTAAAATATAAATTCAAACCAGAATGTATTTTTAACGCAGATGAGACAGGATTATTAACAGTAACAGATCCTCCAAAGATTATTTCAACTCGTGGAACTAAAAGGGTTTCACAAGCTGTTTCAGCAGAAAGAGGTTCATTGGTGACAATGTTAGCTTTTGTGAATGCTATGGGTAATACAGTTCCACCTGTATTTATATTTCCGAGAGTAAATTACGAGGATTTTATGATATGTGGAGCCCCAACAGGAAGCTTAGGGCTGTGTAACAAAAGTGGTTGGATGACAAGTGAGAACTTTTTAGTTGCAATGAAGCACTTTGTTTCCCATGCTAAGCCATCTGTGGAGCATCCAGTGCTGTTATTAATGGACAACCACGAAAGCCACATTTCATTTGAAACAATAACATTTGCAAAAGAAAACTCTTTGATTTTATTAACATTTCCACCACACTGCAGTCATAGATTGCAGCCTTTGGATGTTTCGGTGTTTGGTCCTTTTAAATCTTATTTTAGATTGGCTCAGAATGAATGGTTGGCCTCCAATCCAGGGAGAATTATTAACATATATAATTTACCTCAGCTAGCATGCAAAGCATATAATATGTCTTTCACAATAAAAAATGTTTGCAGTGGGTTTTCTAAATGTGGGATCTATCCACTCAATATCATCTAGTGTTGGTGACAGACCTCTTCTTGTCGAGCAACCAGAAATTAAACAACCAGATAATCAACAATCATATGAAATAAATAAACAAGTTGATTCTTCAGAATCATCAGTCAAAATAGTTAGTCCAGAATCCATTCATCCGTACCCTAAAGCACCCCCAAGAAAAGATTCTAAAAAAAGAAGAAAGCAGGGTAAAAGTACTATATTAACTAAAACTCCAGAAAAGACAGTAAATAAGAAGAACATTTTTGAAACTGGTAAAATTACCACACAAAATCTAAAAAGAAAAATTGACCTCAAAAGAGGGAAAGAAACAGAAATCTTTGATGCAGATTTTTTAATTGTGTCATCTGTAAAAAATGCACCCGTAAACCAACAACAACAAAATACTTGCAAAATATGCAAATGTAACTGGAAAAATTTCGTTGGGCCTGCTTGGATTCAGTGTTTTACTTGTCAATGGTGGATATGTGGTAATTGTAATAATAACACCAAGAAGCGTTATTATGAATGTGAACTATGTGAAGTTGACTGTTGATATCTTCTACACTTTCTTTGATGGTTTTTTATTTCATGTACTTTGCAACAAGCAATAATTGTTGATTTTTATATTTTGGTTAAACATAAATACAATGAATTTTTTAAATATCTAATAAGATGCTTTGTTATTTCGTTTTTTGAAAGTAAACTAGATACTTTATATGGTATTAAGTTGTTTATTTATAATTTAGCATAGGGATGCTGCAGGCAATGACTCATTTCCCTATTGGAAATGTGTCATTACTGGGAATTATATCCAAGCATTTAAAAAACGCTTTTTGTTTTACTAAAAACAATTATTCGTGTTTTTAATTTAATTTTAATATACATATATTTTTTAATAAAACTATTTTAGGTTTGTCAATATATGCAGACATTCGGCCATATTAATAGCTTTTTCGGGTTCCCTAATGGTAGAAACTACCCTTACTGCTTGACTGGCTTGAAAGTTACTTAGGACCTCTCTTCTTTTATTAATTTTTTAGATTTGTCCCATTCAATAATTTTATTTGTCCCATTCAATGAGTAGTTCTTAATGAATGGGACAAATGCCATGGTCTTACTAAACTCTCTTTTTACCAATACCCATATGCGGAATCAATTATTTTGTTTTTGTTTATCATAGTACGAGAGTTAACAGTTATCAAACTATTTTCAAAGTGATTTTTAAACAAATTTATCAACCTCAAAAAATGCATTTTACGAAAACTGTCCCATTCATTAAGGTTCTCCCCTACTACCAACAGTTGTTAGCTTAACATATGATTTTATTTTATCAATTACTAAAATTAAATTTGGATACCTTACCAAACAATATGTGGATCCAAAATTCATAAGATAAAATGAAAAATCATATAATCACGAGGTAAAATGTTTGAAACTATTACAGAACGTAATTTATACTAATTGTACTAAATTTAACGTATTTTGTACTAATTGTGGTAATCATTAATGATTACTATTTGTCTAACTATGTTTTAAAATATAATGTTGACATCATTGTACAGAATCCAAATATCATACTGGCAGTATGATATTTAGATTTTATGCAATGATCCCAGCATTATATTTCAAAACTGCATCGAAAATTAATTTTAGTCATTTAATTTGAATAAAATGAAAATGCATTAGCTTTATTTTGTCGTATAAGTTAGTTCAAATATAAAGTACTATTATCCTTAAATTTTTAGTTAAAATTTGGAATGATGTATTGGTCAATTAAAGAAGTTTGTTTGCATTTAGAGCAGAAAGGTCTTGGTGATTTAAAAGAAAAAATTGTTGGTTAGATAATGCTTTTTGAGTTTTTAAATGTTTGTTTAGTAATAATTATACTGATATTAAATCTATATTATTTTTGTATTTAGCAAATAATATTTTTTGAAATGGCTGCATCTAATAATAACTTGTGTTTTACTTGTTGTGCATGAGGCGCGCAGTAGTAGTCTGTGCAAAAATATTTACAACATTTGTATATCATGCATGAACATACCCCTGGTTTTTTCCCATTGTGTAATATTAATAGTTGTCCTGCCAAATATAAATCTGTAAAATATTTATGTCACCATATGCACAAAAAGCATAATTTCATTTTTAGCACACCTCAAGTAATAAAAAATGAGCCTGATAATATTAGTGAAACAATGGAAAACCATATTTTAGCAGATAGAAATGGGGATAACACCATAGCTGAATTTGTGATAGATTCTACCTCTAACAACTGCAGTCAAGCAAGTTGTAGTTTGGATTCTAATATAGGTGCCATATCCTCGCTAGACAGTCTACTCAGTTATTTGCAGAAACATTACGCTATGTTTGTAGTTGCAATAGCAGAAAAACATTTGATTCCGTCTGTTGCTCAAATTGATTTAGCAAATGAAGTTCAATCTTTGTTGACATATTTTAATCATACTTTTTGTGATCTAGTAAAGCAGCAACTTGGGGAAGACCTTGTTAATAATAGTGATTTATGTCAACTTTTAAATAGTGATTTGATTGTAGATAAAGTTTTATCTGTGGTCAATTCTATCAAAAAGGTTATATCATTTTGTAAGTCAAACTTAAGTTTTATTTTGCCAGTTGAAACAAATTTACACTATGTGAATGAAAACCAACGCGAATACGATTTAAAAAAAAACAAAGCTGTGAAACTTTTCAGTATGTGCCCATTTTGCCATTATTAAATAAGTTAGTCGAAAATGAGCTTATCTGGCATTCAATAAAACGAAACTGATAAAGATGAGTCAATTAATAAAGACTTGCTATGTTCATATTCAGATGGTTTAAATTGTAAACAATATGTCATTTTTAAAAACAAGAATGCATTAAGAATTCATTTATATTGTGATGAATTAGAGGTATGTAATCCCATTGGGGCTCATCGCTCAGTACATAAACTCTGTGCGTTTTATTTCTTCTTAGGCAACATTGAAGAGCAATATATTTCTCAACTTCAGAATATAAATTTATGTATTCTTGTTTAAGAAAAGTTTATAAAATAATATAAAACATACAAACAGGTTTTAAGACCTTTAATTCAGGATTTGCTGACATTGCAAAATGAAGGTATATTAGTTATATTTGATAATATGCAGGTTCGATTGTTTGGAGGGGTTGCAACTATATCTGCTGATAATCTTTCCTCTCACGCACTTGCTGGTTTTCAACGTGTTTTTAACTCTGGTTAAAAACTGAGTTCTGACTTCTTATGTTGACAAAAATAAAATTTTGGCTGAATGTGATACAACAATTTGTACCAATGAAATACATCATTATCATTTAGCTGCTATTTCTGGTCTAGGTCGCATTTCTTCTAGTGTGTACGGTGTCGATAAACGCTGTCCTTTATTAGATTTACCATACTTTAATGTTTTACAGTCTTTCCCACCAGACATCATGCATGATATGTTAGAAGGAACAGTTCCACAATTAGTAAATTTAATTTTGTTAAAATTTAAAACACTTGATATAATTACAGTAGAACAAATTAACTCAGAGCTTAACATTTTTGAATTTGGCAGAAATGACAGGAAAAACAAACCAGTACCATTTGTTATCCGTACTGGTGCGTCTATTAACTTTGTTGGTTCAGCGTCACAGAAGTTTTGCATGTTTTGGTTACTACCGTTTATGATTGGTAATCGCATACCAATATCTAATGTGTATTGGTTACTGTACTTGCAGCTGCAAGATATTGCTGTACTTGCAGCTGCGAGATATTGCTGATTGATTTTTATGAAATTTGCTAACATAAAAATGTTGTGTTTATTAGTGTGTGTGACCTTGGTGTACTTCAGAGTAAGTGCATCAGAAGCGTGTTACACTGGTGCTAGGAATATTTTAGTAGGATCCATTAGAACTACGACACCATGGCTGGTTCGGTATCAACTACCTCTTTTACCACCAGCAGTTGTTAGAGGTTTGGAATCCAAAGACTGTTGCTTTCTGCAATATAGGAGGAACAGCTGCAGGAACCAATTGATACAATGTTTATATGATGACATCAACAAATTTACATTGTAAGAGTGTTTTTCATTATTTATTACATTGTAAGAATTTAATAATAGTAATAATTATTTAAGAATAGTAATATTTATTACATTGTAAGAAAATTTCATCATTATTACATTGTAAGAGTGTATTTCATCATTGTAATATACTATAAAAATCTCTGTGTTTGTGTGTTTGTTTTGATGTTGTTTTCATCATTAATTTGTGTGTTAATGTTATTTTTACCTTTATAACTGACAATAGTTACAAATACCCCATTCATACAGGCAATAAAACACATAAACACCTAATGTTGTTACTGTAACTTTTACAAATTTACAATACAAAAATATTGTGAGGTTGCTGTGTCACTGTTTAAGTTTTATTTAAAGGTATCCATCCAGTACCCAATATTCAGATGTGCTTGCCACCATATGTAGCAAGTATCCATATTTAAATGACTTCCCTTTAAGGAGTGGTAGTTCATCACAACAATACCTACTATTGGTAAGTTGTTTAATGGCTAATATAAATAAATAATATAAACTATATAATGTTATAAGAATATATAATATATTTTAAGTGTATATGTATATATAATGTATTTCGTATACATATATACATATTTATATATACAGCATATGTATATAATTTATACAATCTGAATGCATATGTCAAATAAATTTACTTATAATGGCAGCCTATTGGAAAGTCTAAAAAACAAGTTCAAGAAAGAAAGACTCCCTTTAATCAATATTAAGACTGTTGCTATCCATAAAAGCACATTTGGTAATCTAGGAAGAGGACGCAAACGCGAAGAAGATTGTTTTGAGAATGAAGAAGTTTGTAGTAGGACACATAGAGACTTGGTAAATATTAGACCTTTTTTTTTTGGGGAGGAGGGGGGTATATAATTAAAAAAAATGAAATAATTCTTGAAAAATAACTTTTTTCAAGCTACATTCTCTGCCTATTGGTGAGGATGATTTAACTGTAGCAAAACATCATCAGGATATGTTAATGGAATATCGTAAACTTCGTCCAGACATGAATATGCTAATTGATCGCCAAAAACGTAGTTGATTTGTGCGAGCAAAGGATTTTGATGGTCGATTTCGTACAGTCGATCTAAAAGCTAAATACCCATGGCTCTGCTCTGCTAAATTGGTATGCTTTTAACTGTTCTCTTTATTTTATTTTTTGTGTTTTAACTCAAAAATAATTTTTATTATAATGATATTAAAGCTTCTTAGTGAAATGAAACTAAGATTTGGCAAAGATCTAGATAAAGAGCTTCATCAATGGATGAAGGGTATGGAAGATAAAATCTTAACCATGATAAAATTAAAGTGTAAAGACGGTTTTATTTCTAAAATATTTGCTGAAATTGAGTGTGAAATTGATGAAAGCACTAAAAAAGGTAATAGAATTTGAGTACTGTCAACTCTCGATTTCTCCAACCTCCTTGGGACCAAGAAGTTAGTTAGAGATAGCAAATGTTTGAGTTATTGAGAGTATAATCCATAAATTAGGGTTCAACAGGATTCAAAAAAAGTTTAAGGTACTCAAAAGTTCAAAATATCAAGTATTCAAGATATCGAGAGTTCATTGTATTACAAAAGTTTCTGCTTTTCATAGCTAAATAATTTTTATTTTTGCTGAATTGTATTTTCTATTTCTGTTTTTATGATTCTGTTATTTTACTATTTTAGATGCTACATTAAATGGAGCTATTCTAATGTTGCCACGGTTATTCAAAGAGTCTGTTGAAGCCTTGGTTACTTTTGATAACACCTCAATGCTGAATACACCTACTATTGCAATCCCTCAAGGTCAAAAGCTGACATCAAAATTTTGTTGTGTTATAATAGATGGCCAAGAAATAGTTGAACATCATAATGATGTTGATATCTCATTAGGGATGGCTTGTATATTTGCCTCCTATTTTGTTTACAATATAAAATACCCGGTTCAATTAAAAAACACCTTATTATTTTATGAGCACATCATATTTGGCGTATCAAACAAAGAAATCCCTGTAACATATCGCAGATTAGCAAATACTTTGTACGAGGTTGATGTTGATTTATTTTTAACTTTTTAATATCAACTCTATGTTATTTTTTAATTTCAGTTTTATTGGTCATTTTATTCATTTAAATATGAAACTTATAATAATAAGATCATTGAACAATAGCAATAAAGATGGCTGCCTAACATAAACTTATAAAATCTTTAATTCTCACACAAAAATATGTATATGTTTGTATAAGTTGAAGTTGATTCCCTATATAATACTTATATAGGGAGTCCCTATATAAGTATTATATAGGGACTCTACTGTGTGTGTGTGTGTATATATATATATATATATATATATTATATATATATATATATATATATATATATATATATATATTAATTATATTTTTTTATAAATCATCAATTGTTTGTTTAGGTTTAGCTAATTTTACAAGGGAATCTGAATTATACAAACCTTTAATGGATTTTCACGAGTTTCATCAATATCACAGATATCAATATTCACAGATTTTCAATCATCAATAGAATCTGCGATTGAAAGTAAAAAACGAGCATATGAAAGACGCGATACGGTTCAGATTAAATTGTAGTTTGAAAATAAAGCAATTTTTGTAAATTATTTTGTAATTTTTGTTTTTCTTGTAACATATGCGCTTCGTTAATCTAGTCGTTGTTTGATTCTTTATTTTGCATCAAAACTTAACGATTTTTATCCCGTGATTTTAACTTTTTGGATCAACTTAATTAAAAAAGTTTTCTTTAATTAGTTTTTTTTTAGAAAATTATTTCAAAATTTGTGTACTGAACATCTATTTTGTCAGGCAGATGTCTTGAATCTGAAGTATTTCTTTAAAAAAGAGGTTATTTTTATGGTTTTTTGAAGAACCTCTCCGGATGATTTATCGGAACTCTCAAGAACCCTTAGGTTCTTCAAAAAACCGATTAGGGTTCTTTAAAGAACCTTAGGGTAAGGTTCTTCCGAAGAACCCCTACAAAAGGTTCTTTAAAGAACCTCTACGGGTTCTCCCTCAGCACCAACTTCAAGAACCATTTAAGGTTCTTTAAAGAACCATTCGGCTTTACAGTGTACTGATCATTATTCAAAGTAAGTTTAATATTTATGTTATAATACATTGTTACTTCAATAGCCTGATTACTCAGAGATAATTTTAGCATTTTGTATTTTTAAACAGCCTTGTTCTCACTTATTAAAAAAAAAAAAGAAATATAAAAAAAAAAAAAAAAAGATTTGAAAAAGTAATGAACTACTTACATACTTTTGTGAATATTATATCTATATTAGCACACATATTTCATCTCTCTCTTCATGCAAGTTAAAGTATATTTTTCATTAATATTATTGTATATATTTTTGTATAGTATAATATATGGATACATCATATAGTATAATATGGATACATCATATAGTTTTGACAATAATTAGTTATTAACTTAACTAAACAAATTTAATAAGTTATTAGCATACTACAAAACTATATGATATATCCATACTGTGACCGCTCTCCTTGTTTTAGCTTGGCTACGAGAGAGTGAACTATCTATTAAATAGATTTTATGTATACTTTTTTAACCTTACATTTAAGGTGAAAACAAGCTTTATTGGGTTAGGGAATAAGTTCGTTCAGTCTTTTTTAAAGAGCTTTCTTTAAACAAAACACAATAATTATAACGATAAATTAATCAATTATGTATTTGCCTTACTGTTTACAACCTCCTCCCATCTCGACTAATTTGTTGACGCCGTTCCGCCGAAAATCGTCCGGTCTGGTTTCAAAGTAGTTGTTGAGCCAGTTTTTGAGGTCCTCTTTCCCGTCGAAGTTAAAACCCCTCATTTGATTCGAAATTTGATTTGATTCAATATAAAACAAGTTTATGTATTACATCTATATTTTTGGTAAATATATTGTTACACTCTAAAAAAAAATCCGTTAAAACGTTAACGGAGTAGTTCCGTTGACAGTAATTCCGTTGTGGATACGGATTAATTTGTTAATAAATAACAAAGTATTACTCCATTTGCTGTAATATAACGGAGTACTTTTGTTAGGAAAGTTAACATTAGAGTATACGCGTGTTAAAAAATTTTCTGATTTCATCGAATACCAAAAGTCATTAAAGATAATTTTTCTGGTACTTGATAAATTATTTATTATAAAATCAGTTTTATAAAGAAGTTTATAAAGTTTAATTTTTGTAATTATTTTTAAAAAGCTGTATTGAATTTTAATCTGTAAATAATGTTATGCTGTTTTTTAACTTAATGACATAAAGTTAAAATTATATAAATAATGTAATTTTTCAGTTTCTTATGTTGAAATTAAAGCTACATTGTTTTGATAAATTTACAAAATACAGAATGTCTGTGCTAATCAAAGTATGGTATCTTGATCGTGTAATAAAAATGTTTGTTGCCATCAACAACAGTGACAATTTCGCTACAAAAGGTCAAAATTACTAATTGATATTTTGAAACAAACATGCATTGTTTTAAATGTTTAAACTATTTTGCAAACTTATCTGATTTTTTTTTGCCATTTTCGAAATTTTCATGGCTTAGCAACAAGAGGATCAGAATTTTACTGTATGTTGACAACTGTCCATGAAAGCTGTCCTTAGTTTTAGCAAGTTTGAAAAGCATTTCGAACGCCATCATTCTGTTGTGCCAGTTCAAATGCATAGCTTCAACAAAAATACAGCAACAACTTTCAATAAGAGTACCACAAAGATGCAATAAATACAAACTTGCAAAGTGAATTACATGACCATGTGGGCCTACCTAATAATGGGTATTGCCATTTTCATATGAAGATGATAATATAGGCACAATTAGTACTATTTCTGTAACAAAAGACAGTATTGAAGTATCTGTTATAAAGGTCATGACAGAAATAACTTCAAAACCAAACTTCACATCAGCTAATTCACAACTTAATATGGAAAATATATCTGGTCTACTCAATGATGTTGCAACATATGCTTCACAGACAATAAAAAATTTAGCAGTTAACTTGAAAGTGTCTCCAACTAATAATTTTGTTTTTGATGCAATAAAGGATGTACAAACTATATCTAGTGTTTTACACAAAGCAAACACTGTATACAAAAGAAAAAAATGGCTAAAAGAACACGGATACTTCATTGAGGCAACGGAAACATCACTGGGTATGCGTGAAGAGCAACAATACTCTACGACATTACAATCAATGGATTCTATTGATTGTAATGTTAGTTGAGGACAAATTTTATGTTGTGCCAATAGATCTCCTTTCAAAAATAATGACCCAATCGCCTTTCAAATAAAGTATAAGATTTTGTTGATACAGACACTTTTCATCATCATTCATTCCTTCAACGGCACCAAAGAACATTATTGCTTCACTTTTTTATTGATGCACTTGAGGTAACAAATGTGCTTGGGAGCCATACACGTGTACATAAACTTGAAGCTTTGTACATGATAATACGCAATATAGTTCCTGAGTATCAGTCTAAGACTGATAGCATCTTTTTAGTCAGGTTATGGTATGCTCTAGATGCACACGCTGATAAGTACACACACTATCCAATTCTTCATTGTGTTGTATCTTTATTGCAACAATTGGAAAGTGAACAGGGTGTTGTTGTTAAAGTGAATGGAGCAGAACAAACGATCCATGCAACTTGTAGATGTGAACAATGCAATCAATAATTATAACTATTCGTTGGATGACAAAAACAGCAAACCACCAGCAGTTAACATAAAAAAATATTCGTATACAAGCTGCTGAAGCATGGTGTTTAATCCCAAATCTGCCGCTAATGATTGGAAAGCTAATTCCAGAAAATGATGCTCATTGGAGGCTTTTGCTGTTGTAACTAGATTGCATGGATGCAATATTTGTTCCAGCTCTAACTGTTGACCTCATTCATCAGCAAGAGTTTAATCTAGAAGAACATCACTCCTATTTCAAGGCTATATATCCTGAAAAGATACTGATTCCAAAACACCATTTTATGCTGCAGTATCCAGAATTTATGTTAAAGTATGGACCTTTAAGCAGATATTAATGTATGCATTTTGAGACAAAACATCGATTTGCTAAAAAAATTGCATCTGTTGTTCGCAACTTTAAAAACATTTGGAAAACTGCCATGCATCGTACCCAACTCAAACTAGCAAACAACTTGTTTAGTGCGTCTTTGTATACTGATTATGTACAAATTGGCTTATGTGATAGTTTATGTACAGTTTTAAACCTGGAAAAGAGCGACGAAATATATGTGGCTCAATCAATTAGATTTGGCTGCTATAAAATCAAGCCTGGTTGTGCATTGTGCTATGAAGTTGTAGAGAGTCGTCCTCAGTTTGAAGAGCTAATGGCATTGTTTCTCTTTTAAAAAAAATGTACTTTGTATGCTACCCAATTAAAACTTTACATTTTCATGAACACTTCCATTCTTTTGAAATTAAGAAATCTGCTAATCCAAATATACTGGTTGTTTCACAGGAAAATCAGCTCAAGGACTATCATCCATACAAAATTATAACTATTGCCGGGGAAAAAGGCACATTTGCACACTTTGTAAATTTGATATAAACAATTTTTAAAAATAAAAAAAAATTATGTAGCAATATATATGTTTTTTATTTATTTATGAATTGCAAACCTAAAATATATAAGTTCCTTATTTATTAAAATTAAATAAGAGTTAATTAAATTTTTTTACATAATCCCTGACAAATTGTGTTGTCAAACTTGTTTTACATTTGTTTTCTTTATTTTACATATTTACTTTACCTGTTGGCATTTTGTTATATATGATAATGACAAATTACTGCTATTCCAGTGCGTTGCAATTTTGGTTTGGCATCAGATAAGGCTGTTGGCTTTGTCTATAAAAATGATGGCACAAAATTTGACGAAGTTAGTTTTGAAATAATAAAATATTTGGCAGAATCGAACACAATTCTTATCCTACTCATGGATGGTCAGCATTGGACCAGTGCTAATGTGGTAAATTATTTTTTATTATAAAATAAAAATAGTTGTAATGTGAGATATTTTATGAATCTTTATTTTAATCACTTTTTTATTAACATTTGTTTGTTTATGATGCTGTTAAAATTTATTTACTGTTTCTTTAAAAAGTCCAATTTACCAATATTATTGCCTTTGTTATCTCCAAAAGAAAATGCATCAACTCCCAGTTTGATTTTACCTGGTTCTAATGTATCCATTGACAGCAGCTATTCAAAGAAAGCTGACAATGTGGCTTTGTTTCAACTAATTCATTAAAGTTTTTCTTGCCAAACACCCTGTAAGTACTATACTAAAATGGTATGCTTTTTACAATTTTAAAATTTATAATAAAAAGTAATCCTTGCTTTTTATACTATCAATTTGTTTTTTGACAAAAGATTTTAATAAACAGTAAAGCATGATAATTTTATTATCTTTGTAGAGTACTTGTCAATATACTGCAGAGGTTGATTCCAGTAAAGAATCAATCTCCAGCAGGCAACGCATTGTTGGAGATGTTGTGCAAAAAATGATAAGTATTTATGGAAACTACCCTGATTGCGATTAAAAGGTTTGGGTGGCAACATTGCTAAGCGAGACACTTATTCTTCCAGCAAGCATTTTTTATGACTCTTCTAGTC